AAGGCAGATGCTTAACGACTGAGCCACGCAGGTGCCCCGAGGATGCACTTTCTAAGGCAGTGCTTAGTGTCAGGATGCATGCCCTCCATGGTCTCCCTCAGTCTGAGACCAGCCTGCAGTGTTGGCACGATGGGGTGTGTGCCTCTCCCACCCCTCCCCCGCTGGCCCACAGTGGAACCGTCTTCTTGGGTTTCTGGTAATTTCATCAGGGCTGCATCATGTTGCTAAAGCTGCAGATAACATCTCCTTGTGGGTAACTCTTCCCTGAAAGAGCCCCTGAGGCTGGACCCAGGCTCAGAGTTGGAACAATGCGGTGGAAGTTTGGGGGGGTCTGAGGGTCTGTAGGTAGAAGCAGGTTGGCTGGGATCTGGAACTGTGTTGAGGAACAATGCCATTTGCCACTGGACCCCATGGCAAGGCGAAGGGGGCAGGTGGGCCTGGAGAGGCCCCTGAGCTCCTGGAGCTCTTGGATATTATGCTGACTCCTGAGAGCTCCGCCTAGCTCCACTGACAAACCCCCATCCAGGCACGGGCACGGAGACCCACCCCATCCTAGGCCAGGCAGAGCGACTGTCCCCCAGCACAGGTCCACCTTAACTGGGCAGCCCTGTGGGCGGAGCTCATTGTTGATGCCGTCTGTGCAGACCTGAGCGCAGGACCGACTTGCAGGAAGCACACGCAGCTTCCCGCCTGCTGACCCGGTTCCTCACGCTGCATCTGCAGCCCAGCACCATGATCCAGGGTGCCTCGGAGCCTGATGGCCTCAGCTGGGGCTGGGACGGGGAGGATGACTGGGACGGCGCTGTCCTGACCCTGCTGGCGCTGGCTGTGGTGGCCGCCACGGGACTGGCCTTGCACTGGTTTGGCTCTGGGCAGGACCAGGAGGCAGCAGCACCCGCATCCACAGCCCCTGGGGCCCAGCCTTCACAGGCGGGAGGAGCCAGGCCCGCCCTGCCCCTGAAGTCCAAGGTCAGTGATGGTGTTGAGGGAAGCAGCCCAGGGCAGGGGAAGCCAGACCCTCCGGGACGTGGCCAGGGGAGTCCGGCTGCAGCAGGGGCCCAGGATCCGAAGCTCCGGGGAGGTGGCCGTCTGGCTGCCACAGCTCTACCTCCACTCAAGACAGCTGGTGAGGTGACCACTGGAGGGGCCTTGGGACAGCAGCAAGGTAATGCCAAGCCAGAAGCCCCCCGAGGCAAAAGAAGGGAGCCTCTCGGGCCAGGTACTGCCCTCATGGGTAGAAGCAAAGTGGGGGGGACGTCTGGCCCCCTCCTGATACACTTCACCCCTCGGAGTCCTGGCAGACAGATGGAAGGACAAGTGAAGGCAGGAGGCGTCCAAGTCAAGGTGCCAACTCACCAGGGCCTGATCCACACCACAGAACAGGACACCAGTCCCTGGCAACGAGGTGTAGGGTCACCTGGCTCACTAGAGAGAGGCCCCAGCAGCCGGCGGTGGCAGGTGGACCACAGCTCAGGAGATAGAAACCGCCACTTCCCGAGGTTGGACTCCCTGCGCCTGGGCGCTGTGGTGAGCGTGTGGGATGCTGTGGATGCAGGCAGCAGCCTCTCCACAGGCTCTCAGAGGCCCCCTGTTCCCCAGGAGCCACCTCCATCACACACCACGCAGACTGGGCCCTTGGCTGAGGGCACAGAGAAGGGGTGCAGGGAGAGCAGCCTCCAACCAGCCCCAGTCCTAGCTCTGGAAAGCAGGGAGCCTGGGTCCCAGGCTCCCAGGGAGGCTCAGGGATCTCCAGCCTCCGTGGAAGGCTGGCCCTGGGAGAGGAGGGATTTTCTTGTCACCAGGAGCTTCAGCCAGGCCCCAGGCTCCATGGGCCCATGGCCAGAGGGGTCGCAGTGTGGACACCCACTCTTGTCTCAAGGGCGGGGGACCACAGACGCCAACGACGCAGTAAAGGCTGGGGCTAATGGCTCTGGAGATGGCTCTTTCTTCAGCTCAGGGCCCGGCGGGACAGAGGAGCAAGCGGGCCACGGCGTCAGAGAAGGGAGAGAATCCCAGCAAGGCCAGGGGGAGCAGAGCAGTGAGCAGGAGGGAGGCCTTCAGGACAGAGGAAAGCCCTCTACAGACACTGTCCAGGGAGCCCCCTCCTTGAGTCCCTTAGCCACACCCTCTCCATGCTTCCCTAAGCCCCTTCCACTCTTGGCTTCCCCTCTGACAGTACGTCCCCAAGGAGGTCTCTTACCTGTAGGCCCAACCTCCTCGCCTTCAGACTCTTTGTCCCTCAGAGTTAGCCAGGGTCCTGTGGAGGATGAAACTCACAGGCCAGTGCAAGCCCCAGCTGCAGCCCCAGCCCCAGCCCCGTCCCCTGCCCTAGCCTCAACCCCAGCCCCAGCCCCAGCCCTAGTGTCAGCCCCAGCGCCATCCTCAGCTGCAGCCCCAGCCCTGTCCCCTGCCCCCAGTAATGGGTCAAGGCCTACGGCACAGGACCACAGTGCGGCTTTCCGCAAGGACAAGCAGGAAGGGCAAATCTCAACCAGCTGGGAAAATCTTATTTCCATGGTTCTTAGGAGTCACCCTTTCCCCAGGCAAGAGAGACCCCAAGGGAGAGCCCCAAGGGCAGCTCCCCAGAGCCCTAGAGATCCCAGCACTGGTGCACCCTCTGAGAACAGAGAGTCTGGTTCTGCCCCTGAAGGGGCCGCCCCCAGCCTGGAGGTCAGGAATGGCTCCTCAGGGGCAGACACAGAGGCTGGACGTCGGCAACAGCAGAGCCACTTGGAGACCAAGGAGGCTCCCATCCCAGAGCCTCCCTCAGGTCCGAGAGGAGATGCAGTCGAGGAGAAGCGTGCAGAAGACCCTCTGTTGCCCGGAGCTGCAATGCCCGGGGCCCCATCACCGCGCCCTGAGCGGAGGCAGTCTGGCCCCCAACCCTCCCCCACTGGGAGGGGCGCCTCACAGCCGGTCCCGCCACCGCGGAATCGCAGCGCGTGTGAAAGAGCAGAGAGCTCCGAGCGCGGTGTCCGCCAGGCTGCGTCCGCGAGGCGCCGGGGAGAGGCTCCGGGGGAGAAGCCCCGCCCTGCAGGCAGCGGGATAGTCGTCCCGGGAAAGCAGAAAGAGGCCCGCAAGCTCATGGTGCTTCTGCAGAGGCCGGGGCGCTGGGGGGAGGGGGAGGGGCCCCGGAAGCCCAGCCCCCTAGCCCGCGAGCCGGCTTCGGCAGCAGCTCTACGACAACGCCCGGACCTGGGCAACTGCCTGGACGTCCTGGCCTTCGCCCAGCGGCACGCGGAGCCCGGCCTGCTGCGGGAGACATACGCCTTGATGAGCGACAATCTGCTGCACGTGCTGGGAGACCCGCACCTCTACCGGCAGCTGAGCGGGGCGGACCGGGAGCGCATCCTGAGCCTTCGGACTGGCCGGGGCCAGGCGGTGCTGGGGGTCCTTGTGCTGCCCAGCCTCTACCGGGTGAGCCGCTCAGGGCTCACCAGGGGCCCTTGTGGGGAGGAGGCTCCTACTCCGGGGCCTGCACCCCTGCCTCCGCGCACGCACCTGCACGTGTTCAACCCCCGAGAAAACACCTGGCGGCCCCTGACTCAGGTGCCGGAGGAGGCCCCGCTGCGGGGCTGTGGTCTCTGCACCATGCACAACTACCTGTTCCTGGCCGGGGGCATCCGTGGCTCCGGTGCCAAGGCCGTCTGCTCCAACGAGGTCTTCTGCTACAACCCGCTGACCAACATCTGGAGCCAGGTGAGGCCCATGCAGCAGGCCCGGGCCCAGCTCAAGCTGGTGGCTCTGGACGGGCTGCTTTACGCCATCGGTGGCGAGTGCCTGTACAGCATGGAGAGCTACGATCCGCGCACGGACGCCTGGACCTCGCGCGCGCCCCTCCCTGCAGGCACCTTCCCTGTGGCCCACGAGGCTGTGGCCTGCCGTGGGGACATCTATGTCACTGGGGGCCACCTCTTCTACCGCTTGCTGAGGTACAGCCCTGGGAAGGATGCATGGGATGAGTGCCCCTACAGCGCCAGCCACCGGCGTTCCAGCGACATGGTGGCGTTGGGAGCCTTCCTCTACCGCTTCGACCTGCTGCGGGGCGTGGGCGCTGCGGTGATGCGCTACAACACGGTGACCGGCTCCTGGAGCCGGGCGGCCTCCTTGCCACTGCCCGACCCGGCCCCACTGCACTGCACCGCGCTGGGCAACACCATTTACTGCCTCAACCACCAGGTCACGGCCACCTTTACGGTCTCCGAGGGGACTGCCCAGTTCCAGGCCAGGGAGCTGCAGCCCTTTGCTCTGGGGAGTAAGGGCGTCCTCTGTCCATTCATCCTGACTCTGCCTGCCACCGACCCCCTGCAGACTGCCCTCTGAGCTGCTCTCCAGGGAGACCCTGGGGCTGGGGGTCTGCTGGCAGGTGGGGCACAGAAGGTGGCTGGGATCCAGAACTTTCTGCCATTGTTTCTGGGACAGCTTTCTTTTTCTGTTTTAATAAGACTCATGATTTCCCCCTTCCATACCCCCCAGCCCTTAAAAGAGACCTCTCCCCCTGGGAGCTCAGGCTCCTTGTACCTACCTGTGAGCTGGTTTTGGGCCATCCCTACCCCGTTTCCCAGCCTCCCACCACAGAATGCTGTCTACTGCCTTTATGACTTAGTTGTTGCCCTCACACCTCAGCTGGCTCACAAAGCCCCTCCTCCAGGATGGTTCTCCTCTGGGCTCCAGGGCCAGGCTCCCTCTGGCAGCACCGCACTGCCTGGAAAAACATCTGTCTGTGGGTCTACTGGTACTCTGAGAGCCAGGGACTGATGATGTGTCCTTAAGGACCAGGATTTGGCCTGTGGAGGAGCTGAGTGACTGCTGAGCAGAGGAAGGAGGTGGCTAGAAACAAGTCACACTTCCTGTCTTTTGTCCCTAGGGCTCCAAGCTGGGCAAGGAGTCTATAAGGAAGTGGGAAGGGGGAACAAGGAACAGAAAAGTCCCCAGGAAAATGTCTTTGCCTCAGGCCTCGGGAGCCTGGCTTGGCCTTGGGAACAACTCTGTAGCCCTCCTTTGTCTGATCCCAGAGGCCTAGAACCCTTGTCTATGAAACCATTCTGCTGTCTGCAGCCCCTGACTGTAACCCCAGCCCAGGCCTGGCCAGGACCACTTGGGCTCATGCCCCTCTGTGGGGTCTCTCCCACCTGCTCTGCCCCTCTAGAAGCCAGCCTCACTTCCCACCAATGCCTGTTCTTACGTGAGACCCAGGTTTCCCCTGAGCTCTTTCCCTTATTAGCTGTGGACTTAGAAGAGACATCTAATTTCATTCTTCTCATCTGTGCAATGGGGACAATGAACATCTGTTACTCAGGAGAGTTGTGAGAACATAAGGTCACATATGTGAGCACCTAGCACAGTGCCCAGGATGAATAAACAATGTTCCCCTTTGCCTATTTTGGAATCCACCATAGGAAGGTAAATAAATCTGACTGAATACTGCTACCTGTCCCACCCTCTGACCTGGTTTGTCTCTATCTGGCCCCGTTTTTGCTTTTTATTCTATGCTTGGTGCTACTGGCACTAAGTATGTTTAATTCATTGAAAGCATCTGCATCTTATAATTCTCATTTTTGTTCGCAAGGTTGGATATGCTGCTGCGTAGGACAGAAAGGGGTCCTCAGGTTGTTCTTAAAAATAAGTTTATTGAGAAACAAGTACTGTTAATACAGCTATATATTTCGGTCGCTGTTACTCTGCCAGCAGAGAAGGCTCTGTGCCTTAGGGGCTTCTCCACATTGGCAGATGGCAGCATGGTGGCCGTGGGTGGGCAGGGGGCCTACTGTTTATGCTTGGTCTCATTGAGCAGCTCTTGCCAGTTCTTCTCCATCTCCTCCTTGCAGTTGAGGAAGGCATCCTCCAGACGGCGCATGGACTCTGCCAGCGAGGGGTTGGTGCGCATCACCACCATGTCGTAGGCCATCCATGTGGCTTGCACTGCAACAACCAGACAGGCCCTGATCAGGCTGCAGAGTGGGGCTGTGGCTCTGGAACACCCCAGGGAGGGCCACATGCCTCCAACCATGCTAAGCATCCCAGGGACTAGATCCTGCTGAGTTACCCAATTTCTCTAAGGAGAGAAAACTGGTAGGCTACATGTTATAGTGTTCATAAAAACCCATATTAAAACTTCTCCCTACACAGGGCAGTACTGAAACTTCCCTGATGTCACATAGGTCTTAACTTCTGGATGCATCGGCCCATGACATTAAGGCTGGAGGCCAGTCTGATATAAAATATTAGGAAAAATTAGAGCAAACATAGGTCCTTACCAGCAGTTCATAGCTAGTGGTTGCAGGGTGAACCCTGAGGAGTCATAATGCTTATCCAAGCTCACGTAGGAGTGACTGCTCTTACTCTAGCAAGGTTCTGAGCCTCATGTTACCTCATGCATAGTGGCCTGGGAGGACTGCTCACCTCCCTCTGGGTACCTCTGTGCTTTCATTAGGGCCAGTCCAAAGAAGAGACAGGCAGAATGAATAATAATAATTGCACATGAATATCTACACATGACCAAGGTCAGCAGCATGACAGACTTGATGTTTTACAGAAAGTTATATCTGTTTGGTTAGGGAAAAATTGTTAGAAAGGCTATGTGCAGTATCTCAACAGATAGAGGGCATTTGGCTATATAGCTTGTACAGGAATTCTTGAACTTTTGGATGCATGAGAGTCACTTGGGAAACCTGTTGAAATGTAGGTTACGGGCCTCTCCCACAACTCAAAGAGGTTCTTTTTTCTTTTTTTAAAGATTTTATTTATTTGACAGAGAGAGAGAGAGAGACAGAGAGGGAACATAAGCAGGGCAGAGGCAGAGGGAGAAGCAGACTCCCCACAGAGCAAGGAGCCCAATATGGGGCTCGATCCCAGGACCTCAGTATCATGACCTGAGCCAAAGGCAGATGCTTAACAACTGAGCCACCGAGGCGTCCCTCAAAGAGGTTCTTATTTACCAGGTTGGGAATGGTGCCCAGGAACCTGTATCTTAATAAGTAGACCACCCTTTCAGACCACCTGGACAGCAGGTGGAGCATGCACCTGGGAGTCAGAGCAGTTGGCTTCTGGGCTCTCCGCTTGCTACCTATGTGGCCAGGAACAAGTGACTTAAATTTACTAACCTCATTTGTAAAGGATAGACAACGTCCCAATCTCACAGCTTGCTATGAAGAGTAAATGGATGATATATGTAATTTGCCTAGAACATATTAGGGTGTTCAAGATAGGAGAAACTCTTACTACAAAATAAATAATTGAGATATTCAGGGCAAAGGGTTAGGGCAGTAAGAAATAAAAATTCAGGAGAAAAAAAGAGCTTGCAGAAATGAGTCTCATATTGTTCTGCATGGCATTTGGAATTCTAGCTCTGAGTTTTCTAAGGCCAAAGCAGAGGAAACATGCTCAGGTTTAAGACTCAGTGACCGTAAAATAAAAACAAACCCATTAAGACACTTTTATCCTAAGAAAAAATTGTCTGATAGGTGTATTTTTTGAGAAGTATGTAATAGAGTTGAAAATGTCCTTGACAACATCCTATTTTATTTTTTTTAAAGATTTTATTTATTTATTTGACACAGAGAGAGAGCGAGAGAGGGAACACAAGCAGGGGGACTGGGAGAGGGAGAAGCAGGCTTCCCGCGAAGCAGGGAGCCCGATGTGGGGCTCGATCCCAGGACCCTGGGATCATGACCTGAGCTGAAGGCAGACGCTTAATGACTGAGCCACCCAGGCACCCCATCCTATTTTATTTTTTAAAAGATTATTTTTAGAGAGAGAGTGCAGGGGGAGGGGCAGAGGGAGAGAGAGAGAATCTCAGGCAGACTCTGTACTGAGCACAGAGCCCAGTGCAGGAGCTCAGGCTCCCAGGTCCCTGAGATCATGACCAGAGCCAAAATCAAGAGTTGGCTGCCCAACTGACTGAGTCACCCAGGCACCCTGACAACATCCCTACTTTAAATACAAGGTGACTCTTCTATGTCTATAGTTGTATGTAATCACTGGCAAAAAAAAGCTGTTGGCACAGTGCCAAAGCACAGTTCAGAGAAGGCAAGTCAATGAGAAGCCAAAACACTGTATCAAGAGCAAAGCCCTCTTTGATTTGATCCAAGGAAGAAAATTCAGGATACACAGAATAGGAAGGACTCATGATCGTAAGAAAATCCTCCAGAAATATATGTCTCTTGAGTTCCCAGGACCCCAAGATCATGATCTGAGCCGAAGGCAGATGTTTTACTGACTGAACCACCAAGGTGCTCCCCTATAAGGTCATATTTTAAAAAATAGTGTGGTATAGGGGCACCTGGGGGGCACAGTTGGTTAAGTGTCTCCCTTCGGCTCAGGTCATGATCCTGGGACCCTGGGATTGAGCTCCACATCGGGCTCCTTGCTCAGCAGGGAGTCTGCTTCTCCCTCTCTCTCTGGCTGCCGCTCCCCCTGCTTGTGCTTGTTCTCTGTCAAATGAATAAATAAAATCTTTTAAAAAATAGTGTGGTATAGACAAATAGACCAATGGAAGAAAAATAGTAAGCTCAGAGATAGACCTAAGTATATATGGAAATTTAGTATATGATAAAAGTAAAACCAAAATCAATGAGAAAAGACAGTTACTAGAGATGAATTAAAGATATAAATATGAAAGAGAAAATAACATCTGTGGGTCAAAATTTAGCAGAATATCTGTGATCTTGGGACTTCTTAAAAACCACAAACCATAAGGTAAAATATTGGTGAGTCTTTCTATCAAAAATTTTTTTTCATCTAAGGACAACATGGACAAAGTTTTCATACAAATGATAGAAGAAATTTATAATGCTTAAAGATGATAATGGGTTAATATCTATAATATACAAGAAAGTACTTCTAATCAATAAGACAGAAAATCCAATAATTAAAAAAAAACCCGGAAAACAACAAGTGTTGGTGAGGATGTGGAGAAATTGGAGCCCTTGTGCATGCACTGCTGGTGGGGATGTAAGATGGTGCATCATTGTGTAAAACAGTTTGACATTCCTCAGAAAGCTAGACATAGAATTACTGTATGACCCAGCAATTCCACTTCTAGGTAATATTCCAAACAACAGAGAGCAGGTTCTCAAACAAATACTTGTATACACATGCTCATAGTAGCACTATTCACAATAGCTAAAAGGTGGACACAATCCAAATACCCATCAAAAGATGAACGAATAAATAAAATATGATATATCCATGCAATGGGATAATTATTCAGCCATAGGAAGGAATAAAATACGAATATATTCTATAGTATGGATGAACCTTGAAAATATTATGCTAAGGAAAAGAAGCCAGAGACAAACTGCATTTACATATTATATGATTCATTTATACAAAATACCCAGAATGGGTAAATCCACAGAGACTGAAAACAGATTGGTGGTTGTCAGGGGCTGGGGATAGAGGCATATGGGGGTGACGGTTTAGGGGTACAAAGTGCCTTTTTAAAATGATGCACATATTTTGAACTAGATAGAGTTGGTGTCTGTACAGCATTGTGAATGTGTTAAATGCCACTGAATGTATACTTTAAAATGATTACATGGTGTGTGAATTTCACCTAATTTTTTAAAATTTAAATTTAAGATGTAGGTATTATAGTTATCTTCATTTATCAGAAGTAGAAACAGAGGCGCAGAGAGGTTAAGTAGCTGCTAAGGTCACACAGCTAATAAGTGGCACAGGTAGGATTTTACCCAAGTAATCAAGCTCCAGTGTTCATGGTTGTTTTTTTTAATTATTTTTTACATTTTATTCCAATAACTTTATAGTTCTACCCTTCACATTCAGGTTATTTATTTATTTAAGAGATTTTATTTATTTATTTGAGAAAGACAGAGTGAGAAAGTGGGAGGGAGAGGGAGAGAGAATTTGAAGTAGACTCTCTGCTGAGCACAATGTGGGGCTCAGTCCCACGACTGTGAGACCACGACCTGAGCCAATACTAAGAGTTGTACACTGAACTGGCTGAGCCATCCAGGAGCCCCTGGTTATTTATTTTTAAGTAAGCTCTATGCACTACGTGGGGCTTGAACTCGTGACCCCAAAATCAAGAGTCATATACTCTACTGACTGAGCCAGGAAGGCACCCCACCAGTGTCCATATTTTTAACTACCTACAGTACACTGCTTTTTATGGTCCACAAGAAGAAATCCAAAAGACTAACAAGCATATGGAGAAAGTCTGGAACTCTACTCAAACAGATAAAGAGGAAGGTACAGGGGTGCCTGGGTGGCTCAGTTGGTTGGGTGACTGCCTTCAGCTCGGGTCATGATCCTGGAGTCCCGGGATCGAGTCCCACATCGGGCTCCCTGCTCGGCAGGGAGCCTGCTTCTCTCTCTGGCCCTCTCCCCTCTAGTGCTCTCTCTCTCATTCTTTCTCTCTCAAATAAATAAAATCTTTAAAAAAATAAAAAGGAAGGTATAGGTTGGAGATATAATGCAATATAGTTTACATAACTTAAAAATACAAAAGTACAAAATTTACAAAAATACACAGAAAGGGGATAAGCAAAAAAAAAAAAAAAAGGAAATAAAAGAATGGAAACAAATAAGTGAAGATTGTTATATGGATCAGTGATGATAACACACTGTGAACTGAGAAGTAAGCCAAACTCTCTGCCAGAGAACAATTAAGAAAACAAATCAACAAAACCCAAATCATTAGAAAACAACAAATGAAGGACCCACTATAGTAGAGAGGGGATTATCTATTATCTGTTATCAATCCCAAATTGAAAAAAAAAATGTCCTCACTGTACCATGCAAGGAGGTGCCAAGGGAAACAATCATATTCCAATACTTATTTCACTGTTAGCACTGTTCTAGGCAAGGAAGATGTCAAGAAGCTTAAGACCCAAGCTTTCTCAAAACGCATAAAAAGTTGGGATGCTGGGGTGGCTCAGTCAGTTAAGAGTCTGACTTCG